CAAACAACCCCAGCAAGGTGTTCATCTAACCTCTTCTTAAAAACTCCCAGGGTAGGAGCCTGCACCGCCTCCCTTGGAAGTTGTGATCGCTGGGTTCCATAAACACAGGTATACAGTGAATGAGAACAACACTGACTAAGACCCAGCTAAACAGAGCCTTGGCTGCGATGATCTAGTTTGGGATGGTCCTGCTTTGAGCAGGGGGTTGGACTAGATGACCTCCTCTTACAACCTTAATTTTCCATGATTCTATGATTCTAATGTGATAAACAAGGAGAAAAGGGAGGACAAGGGTTATAAAACTAAGGCTATGAACAGGTATCTATTGCAGAGCTGAAAATTTCTGGGAAATCTGCAGAACTAGGAAAACATGGTGAGAAAGGGGGTATATAGGCATTCCTGCCCTTAGCTGAAGACCTACAAAGTTAGCTCAAAGGTGAGGTCTCTAGCTAGCTAGCAGTAGCTGCTCCTTGGGTCCCTCCCCCCCCCACTCCACCTCCCTCAGGGGAGCCTGACAATTGATAGCCTGCCCTCTCCCCTTGACAAGCAGGCTGTAGCTGCTGAAAAGCAGCACCTTACAAGGACAGTCCCCTGGCCTGCAGGGATGGCAGGAGCAAGGAGAACTGTTCCCTTGACCTCCACAACCCAGCAGTACTACTGCTCCTGCTGGAGCCTCACCTCTTGGCAGGGCTCTTGTATTTGCAGTGGGAATTCCCTCACCATTACTTTAATACTACTCCTGTAGTGAGAGAAGTTATAATTTAAAGATGACCTCTAAGGAAACTGAGTTGATAATTGGGAGCTGGTCCCTCAGTTCAGTAGCTAGCCAGTCAGTGTTGTTCTCATTCACTGTATACCTGTGTTTATGGAACCCACGACAACCCTCTCGACCCTGTGCCTGCCCGCTCCCCCAGCTCTGCTGCTAGATGGAGCAGGGAGATGGGAAGGGAGGGTGAAGATTAGGGTAAGAAAATTCCCAGAGAAAGCAGAGGCTGTTTAAGGAGCCGTGACACCAGGGTCCATGCAGGGCTCTGTGACTGCTCACAATTGGGATAGCTATCAGGGACCCAGCCATTCTCTCTGTCTCCCTTCCTCTCTCCCCCCCCACCCCTTGGCAGGGGGAAAGGAGAGATGAGGGCAGTAGGATGCTGAGGAACCTTGGGATCCACATTGTTCTGTGTGAGACTGAACAGATGTTACACATGGTGCTACAAAACATTGCTCTCTGGCAAAGCTGCTGCTGAAAACAGCTAACAGATTGTAGCAGAATCAATATTTTTTTTTCCGCCACAACCTCACTTTTTGTGCTGGGAAAAGGGTGTATTTCTCTACACGAAGGTAAGGCTCATTCATGGCCAAAGACAGTGCAGTTGAGTAGTTTGTCTTTTGTTCATCTGATGGTCCAATGATCATAGGGAGTTCCTGACACACGAGAAGATGGGATTTCTTTTTGCATTAGTACTTGTGCTTTCCTCCCAATCTTTTTAACCCTGCCAGCATCCTTATACCAAATATGTACAGCAGCTGCAGTAATACACTTATATGGTACCTTCTGACATGAGGCTGGCCAGGAGGTGTCCGAGGACTGCGGCCTCTTTGATTGACAGCTTGGACCATCAGCCTTCCAGTACAGCTTATTCTGCCCTGTTACAAACATTGGGAGATAATAATAAAGATATTATATGGTTAAAAATAAACAATTCTAATGGAATAGATTTTTCCAAAACACTAAACAAACATCTAATTCAATGTCCGGAGCTTGAAATTCCCTTGCTCTTGCCAGTGTTTTTCATTCTCCATCTCATGCAATCTTTTCTTCCACAAAAAGTCAATTCCCAATAACATTAGTCAAGGTATTGCCTGCCAACAATGTTTTCCTTATATTTTAAGTTTCCAATCCAATTCTAAACATAGTGAAACAACTTTGGTTACAACCAAGTCTCCATGAAAACATTACAAGGTCTTATTCATTCTTATGTATTCAATGTTTATTCTTTCAAAAGGTAAGATTGCTGTAATATTTGGAGCACAGCTGGAACAACAAACAATTTGTCCATAGAATGGAATAGTTAGGACCGTTGGGTTAGCATCTCACTGAAATGTGTATCTGTCTCTGTAGGTATCCAAGTCCAATTTTTCTGGGATACCTGAAGTCCTCAAAACTTTTTCCAGCTGCCACCTAACACTGTAGGCCCTTAATTTCTTTTGGATGGCTTTTTGTAAAGCCACTGGCATGAAGATACTGCACCTCAGTTATTCCACCTGACTTGGAGCAGGGGCAACTTAAAAACAGGTCTCCCATACCTCGGGTGAATGTTCTACCAACCTACAGGCTACTGGATAAACCTGAGGGTCCTTTTTCACTTATTTTGGTAGGTGTGGGGACAGGAAATAGATCACAGGCTACCTAGGTGTCCAAGCTAGGACAGCCACTTGCCTCCTTAAAAATGTTTGTATCAGAGGAAGTTGCAAATCTAGCCAACAGGCTCCTATATCAGGGCCATGTCAGCCACTTCAGTGCTTAAACCCAACCAATATTGCTAACTGTCCGTAAAATTATGGACACACTGTAAGTAACCAGGATAAAAACACTTGTCTGTAAATTCCATAAAAAAGTTGTGCTGCCTGTAACTCAGGAAGTAAAATCAGCTCCATAAAAGCATAGAGCTCACTGAAGCTCTGTGGTTGGAAAACAAGCTCGTTTCATTATTAAAGCACAGACAGAGCACAGCTGCACCCCTGGGGTCTGAGCAGGAGCACAGCATCCCAAAGGCTGTGCGTCTCAGGAAGGTCTGGTCTAAGAGCAGTAGAAGGGAAGTCTAGACTGCAAAACAAAAGAACTATAAAAGAGTTTAAAAGGAATCTTGTATTGAAGGAGAGGCAGTAGTTATTTGGGGAACCGTACTGACACACAGTACTCAGCTGGGCAGGGTGGTGTCTGAAGAAGTTAGGTCTGTCCACAGTATTTACAGAGAATGGTAAGTCTTAAAGCAAGATAGAGATAAAATCCTCAAATACATGTAAACTATTTTCCCTATTTTCCCTTGCACTTAGTTCCTACCATCAAAATAAAGAATATTTGGGTTTTAAGAAGGATGTTTCCTGACTGTATAGTCCACTGGTTACAGATTTCTTAAGGGAAGAACTGCAGGTGCCAGACACTGACCAAAATTGTTGAGTAAGCATAGTTAATAATGTAGCCCAAGGCCAAAGACAATCAACCTCAAGACATCTAAAAATACAAGAACTGACACCTAAGTCTGCACTTAAAAGACTAGAAAGGGGACAGACAGAGGTGCAGCTAGCTCTATAATTGTCATAAACATCTGCAGGAGGACAGATTAGATGATCTGCGTTCCCTTCTAGTCCTAACTTTCTATTGTTCTGTTGCTTAAATTTATTATTATCATAGAAAAAATGTTTCTGCCTTGTGCCAGACCCACTAATAACAATACTAAGTATAATTTTACTAACGTAAGCCAGCTCTATTCTTCTGACTACAATTTCACGCTCTAAGTATGGAAGATTTGCTGCTGATTTGTCCTGTTTTGCTCTGTTTGCAAAAACCAGTAATTCTAAAACTCTTTTAACTCAATTGAATAACGATGTGGAAAAGATAGAGAGGGTCCAGATGTAGGTGGCAAAAATGATAAAGGTCTTGGAAGACAAGTCTTATGAGGAGAAGTTGAAACAAATTGGCATGTTCAGCTTTCAGAAAAGGCACTTAAGAGGGGACATGATAGCAGTCTTCAGATACTTGAAGGGCTATCATAAAGAAGAGGGAAAGCACCTTTTCTCTTGTTGCAGAGAGGAGACAGGGAGGATGTAGATCAATGGCTTGAAGTTATAGTGAAGCAGGTCTAGACTGGATATCAGGAAAAAAACTTCTTCACTGTTAGAACAGTGAGGCAGTAGAATAGACTGCTAAGGGAAATTGTCAAGGGACTCTCCATCACTGGAGGTGTTCAAAAAGAGGCTGGACAGCCACTGATCAGGGATGGTCTATGTGTAGCTATGCCTAGTTTCTACTATAGGTATTTCTCACACTTCTGGTCTTTGCTGGTTGCCACATGGGGCTGGGATGGGATTTCCCTGCCCTGTTACATGTGTCGGGGTTTTTTTTTATATAAGCCTTCTGCAGAGGCATTGGGTATTGACTGCAGCCAAGGCTAGGGATTCTGCCTGGGATGTGCCAATTCTCCTGCTGGGAGTTAAACCCATAGGTTTCTGGCTAGATCATCTTGCCTCTCTGTTCAGGGTCAGGCTGATCCCAATATTTGGGTCCAGAAGAAATGTTACCCTATGGTCAGACTGGTATGGACTGTGGTGATTTTTGCCTTCCTCTGTAGTGGGGGGCCACTGTCGTCTTCCTGGGATTTATTGAGTGTATTTTAATAACTCTTGCAGCAGTAGGATGTTGGATGCAATGGTCCCCATGCTTTACCTATGGCAAATTAGGGCATTATACCTGTGCTGTGTCAGGGTTGACTGTGTAATTTGCTAAGAGGTTAGACAATGGATTTGTGTAGGATGGCTTGGCTAGGGATGATCCTGCCTCAAGTAGGGGGTCAGACTAAGTAGAGGGTTCTCTATGACTCCAAGTCTCAAAGGCTTGTTTTGTTTTCTTAAGTGCCTGAACTACCCAGCAAAACCTACTTTCAATAGAAATTGGTTTAATCTAAACAAGGAGCAAGTTTCTATCTTTAGAGCTGCAGTGAGGTATAGTCAGAACAAAGCCGTAGAGAGGTATAGTCAGAAGTCCCACCAATATTGCTAACTGTCTGTAAATTTATGGACACACTGTAAGTAACCAGGATAAAAACACTTGTCTGTAAATTCCATAAAAAAGTTGTGCTGCCTGTAACTCTAGAGCTGCGGTGAGGTATAGTCAGAACAAAGCCGTAGAGAGGTATAGTCAGAAGTCCCACCAATATTGCTAACTGTCTGTAAATTTATGGACACACTGTAAGTAACCAGGATAAAAACACTTGTCTGTAAATTCCATAAAAAAGTTGTGCTGCCTGTAACTCTAGAGCTGCGGTGAGGTATAGTCAGAACAAAGCCGTAGAGAGGTATAGTCAGAAGTCAGCAGGTATACAACGTGAAGCAGCAAAACAAAGCTATTTTAGAGAAGCAAATTGCTTAGATGGATCTGAACCACAAAGTATGGATCAGAGATTGCTAGATTACAAACCTCTCCTCAGTGAATCAAAATTATGTAGATTATCATAATGGCTCTTTTAAGCTTTGTATCTCCAAAAATTTGTCTATGTTTATGAATAGGATCTGGTTTCTGCCCCTGGTAGAGATACAAAACATTGTTGGTGCTATTAAATTGTATAGAAATCAGCTGTTTTCTTGCACAATGAAGGATATACTATTTCTTAAAGTCATCTTCCCTGTTTTAATTCTGAAATATTTACACTTTTGGGTCTAACCTAAGTGTGCCTAAAAACCTGGTATTTTCCATGAACAAAATGGAACATTTTTGCCGAACTATTTTTTCCCATCGATTCTTTCAAACAAAACAAGTCAAGATTTTTCAGTTCCATTAACAGTTCAGTTCCTCTCCCTTCTATTCCTCTTTTTTCTCACTATTTTCAAATGGGAAAATGGCAAAAAAGGAGAAAAGCAGAACTAAAACAAATCAGCCAAGCAGTAGATTCAAATCAAAACAAATTGAAAATGTTTGTTCAATTTCTTTAACAAAATATTTTTAAAAAAAATGAAGGAAACATATTTCTGGTGCAAATAACTATTTCCTTCAACAAGCCATTACTTAGATGAGAACAGAAATAAGTATCTGTAGAGGGCAAGGAGTTTATACTGCAATTTGAAGTGTTCTTTTTAAAGTTTTATACATAAAACTGATGAAAATAATTTCAAAATGTGTTATACATTAGGTAATTGTGAAACATCCATGCTACTTTGGATGATGCTAATGTAGGAAGCTAAGTTGAAGATGATGCACATGTTAATGTAGGATGAACAACCCTAGAGACTGACGTTTTTATCTGTTTAAAAACTACCATGTGAGCAGCAGTAGTGCCATCATGTAGTATACCTCAGTCCTCAACTTTGGTATTCACCGTCATGTCTCTTCTAATATAGGCATCAGAGTTACTAGATATGATGTAATGTGGGCAACCATTCATTAGGAACTGGCCTGAGTTCACCAACAAAATTTCATACAGGTCACAAATAACTTTCAAAGGGTAATGAACTTCTAGTTACTGCACATTTTGGCAATAATCATAATTGGAGACGTAGAGGTGAAAGTCTCTGTATCCTGTTACCAATCCCCTGACCCATTTAGGTCATGAGACAAATACTTAAAATAAGTTACTGCCCATGGCCTGCACACTATTTCTTATGTGAAAGCCTTTTGAGTTATAGATCATTAAGAACATCTGGAACCTGTAAACCCCTATTTTAGGCACCTTTATACATTAACCGTTAGCTGGAAGGTGATGCATTAACTTGTTTCAAACTAAGTTTACTGGACTTTAGATGCAAGAATGCATCCAGAAAGGGCAATGTGAAGGACTAGAAAGAATCTAGAATGGAAGGCACCAGTAGTAAGAAAAAGAAACTGGACAACTGATGAAACTAGGAGAGGAAGAAAGAGTAAGGCATGATCTTGCGAAGAAAGATCAAGCTGGAATAAGAACTGACAGGGAGCAGTAGAAGGTGGCCTGGGCAGAGGGCATTACAAAGACATGAAAGAGAGAGAAAAAATAAAAGGAGGAAAGAAAAAAACTAGAAGGGAGAAGATAAGGATACATACCTGTGTATACTCAGACTTGCTGGTATTAGTAGGAGGTTAGTCACCAATGTTTGTAAAGCAGAATTGAAAAGGATAAAATATGCACCGTCAAATTATTGAAGAGCTCACCAAAGGCTGCTTCTTGGTTAGGATGTTATATGCTAGGTTTTACTGTGAACCCAAATTTCTATACAACCCAAATACCTAGGTTTTATATTATGAGTGCTGAGACAACAGTAACTACTGTCTATAAATGTGTAAAGACTGAATACTTCCTTTCTTCCCTCCAAAGACCAGCTGCAAAGTCCCTTTAAATGTGTAAATTTTGCAGTATTGGTTCACATCCTGAGCTGGTAAAAACTAGTAAAGCTCCTTTACTTCAGTGAACAAAATCCAGTTATTTCAGCTGGGGATTTGTTTCATTGCTTTAATTTTTCAATGAATTTGATGCTTACGAAAGAAGCTGCTACGAGCATTGGCAAGATTGTTTTACCTGTACGAGTACCATTTTGCCCATCCACCAGAAATGAGAATTCTGACTTAAGATTCTCATTTTAAAGCATCAGTTGTTATTACCTCAGGTAATATTCTTTTCCTATGGAGAACCTGTCAATTTTGCCTAAGTTTGTGGTAGCTTCAAGCTATGGACAGACTTCCATTATCATTTAGGAGAACAAGCCAAACTCATTTTCATTGATGACTTAACAGGATTGGAATCCAGCTTTTTGGTGTGAAAGGGCTAGCACATTAATTCACTGCTGTTCTTTGCCTCTGCTGTGCTGTTAAATGCATAGTAGAAATAAGCTAATCATTATGTTTACTTGGGAATTATACTAGAAGAGAGGAATATAAAGGGCAGGGTGAACTGTTCAAATGCTTTTCTATGTTGTGTAATAAAATATATTTCCAAGTTTGCATCCAGGAGATCCAGAGGAGGATACTTCTGGTTCTTGTCCAAAACAAAGAAAGTACAAGCATAGCATTTTCTCATCAGTTCATATAGCCATTTTCTCAACTCCCAGAAGAGGTAATAAAGCAGAAACTATTCACTTTATTAAAAAATTAGCACTAGTAAATGCAATTTGATTGCCATGGGGATAGAACAGATAATTTCTCTGTTATCTCATGGTCTCTTGCTAATACTTAGCAAAATAGATGTTAAAGAAGTCAGTATTATATCAGTTTTTAAATCTAATCTAGGGACTGATTCCAAACAAACAAACAAACAAAAAAGCCATGTGAGCCTCAGTCAATGGGAATTTTTCCATTTAGTTCAATGGGTTTTAGATCAAGTCCCAAACACTAAAGCCAAGACACATCAAGACCAACTTTCTATATATGGCAATAGTGTGTTACTTTTCTATTCCAAATAAACATGTTATGGATTGGCACTATTTATTATTGAAACAGTTCCATATTCATTCAAATCGAAGACAACCCTGAATTTAAGAGACTATCTCCCCAATATTAGATTCTATGTATGGAAAAATGATGAATTTTTTATAATTTTCCAGGTAGAGAAGCTAATTATCAGAGGTTTGTCTTGAATTCATTCTCTTCCCACTGCTACAGCAGGGAAAACAGTGGCTGGGAGGAAGTCCTGGTGCAAATTACTGTTGGCACCTACAAGCTTAGCTCATCCAGAATTGATGCATGTTACTTTTTTTTGGAGAAATACACTTTGGAAAGTTTCAGCAGAGATACTCCATAAACACATTTTTAAGCAGCACATTTGTACCCACTTATACACAATACAAACTGTTCATGATATTACTGCAAAGCCAAAAGGCTTATGATTTATCACACAGTTCACTGGGCTGGGCCCCAGCATAGTCAACATTGTTTTAAGGAATGGTGACCCAAAGGCCCAGCACTGCTCAGTATGCGTGTGTACTTCACATACCCCCCACAAAGAATCAATGTGCTAATTAAGTCCCTACTTGTGACTGGCAATGGGTGTTCTTGTCATGAGCCTTGGGACCCTCCAAAAATATATATGCAGATGAGGCATGGGGCTGTCTGGTCCTGCCCTCTTATGGAGGGCAAGGCCACACCAATCACATGCGATGGGCAGAGAGAAGGGGTGACATTACTTCTCATCTACATAGACATTTGATGTTGTTTGCCAGATAGTTAAGGCTGATGAAGAAACAGGGATCATTGGAAATGGGAAAGAATGGCACTGCTCAACTGTGACAGTGAAAGAGGAAGTCAAAATGTATTTGATGTAGTGGTTCACCATGAAGAGTGGGTGCTGAGGGGAACTGAGTGCAATGGGCACCATAGCTTATTCAGGTGGGCTTCACTAACGTAACCTTGTGGTAGGTTCTCAACAGTATGTTTTCCCAATATGGGCCATGTATTTTACAGGCATTCTCAGTGTAGGCTCCATTCAATCAACTTGATAGTTGGTTTCCATTACTGAGCACATACGACTTTTGGCAGCAGTTTAATGATAGACAATGTATTAATGAGGAGGTTTTCCTGTATGCAAATATAAGATGAGAAGCTTCCCCCCCCATGCTGACTGGGGAAAAAATTCCATCTTATATATGGGTAAATATGGTAGTTATAATACAATGCTTATTCTATGAAAGATATTTCCAGCTTACAAAGATTATTCAAGGCCTTGAATTATTTGGATAATGTGCTATTTATAAAAGGTGAAAATAACATTTATATTTTCTAGTTTTATCCAATACGATTTGAAGTATCAAGATCGAGTTTAGAACTACCATTTGTATACGTATTGCAACATGAGGAGGTATGACAGCTAAAGAGCAATGCAAAAATGGAAGAGTTATTCTAAGTAGCCTAGCAACGTGCATAACAGAGCACAACACTCCTGTTTGGATTAAGTTATGTCTTAATGATAGAATTTGTTATTTTGTAGTGCAAGCCTATTTGTGATTCTGGTCTTGGCAAGGTTTTTGTGCTACAGAATATAATAATCCATTATTTCACTAAGTTATTTCTTCATGGGTTATCATGAACAGAATTATACAAGCAGCATTTTCTTTAGTTTTCAGTAGGAAAAGTGGATTGACTTCCAGTGTGCATAGTTTGTTACTCTGTAAGCAGAATGTCCACTGTGTTACTGCAGTAGGTTTCTATTATATGCCATACCTCCTGCCTATTAGCTACTGCATACATAAAGAACAAACCTTACTACAAGCCAATAATACGTTATCTATGTCAGAAAAACATACAATGAATACTACAAGATTTTTTTCTACACATCATGCTTCCCAGTTATTGACCTACAATATAATGGTTTGTTTTTATGAAATGATGTTTTGGCTTTACTGTTATTTTTAGCCCTGATTAAAAAACTATTACTCATGCTGAATAGTACTGCAGGCTCTCATAGTCCCATTACTATCAGTCAGACTACTTGTGTCAAGAAGTGGTATCAGCGGAAGTATCACCAAGAGCTCAGATGTACTGGGTTACTTATGTTGGGAACCAGGCCTATCTTGCCCTGTACAATATCAACACAATGTACCCTTAGTGAACACATGGAGATGGTGCCAGCTAAAAGCAGAAAAATGACAAATGAAAAACACACACAGATACTGTATCCATTTAACAGCATTTTTTCCTAAGTTTGCAGATAGACTGTTCCCATCCTACTGTAGTTTCAGTTTTTCATCCTTTAAGATGAGTTCATCTTTAATTATATTGCATAACTGACAGATGAGCTGGTTTTTAAAAATTTATGTGCAGAGGCAAGCTTGTTTTACAGCTGAAACCATTTACCTGTGGGTTGGCAGCCATGACAGTGTAATTCCCATCATCATCCAGGGTGGAGGCTACAGTGTGGAGAGAGCAGGTCCCATCAGGTTCTCTTTGAATTCTGTAGTGATCACTTCTCTTAGAGATTTGCTTCCCATCTTTGAACCAGTAAATCTGTAGCAGAAAACAAAGTGCAGGTGATAAAAGATGAGTGGTTATAGTCAGAATTTCTCAAGTAACAGAGCCACTAGCACGACTGTTTGAGCACTTGTGGTGCTCAGGTGAGGTCCCAGAGGACTGGAAAAGGGCCAGTCTGGTCCCTATTTTCAAGAAGGGGAGGAAGGAGGATCTGGGTAACTATATACCAATTAGTCTCACCTCTATCCTTGGGAAAACCCTTGAAAAAATGATCAAGGATCACATTT